TCAACGTTATCGGAAAATCTAGCTGTTATGAAAGAAATGATATAATTTTGAAAAAATCTAAACATCTCTCTCCAGTTAAGGTTTCTTCAAAAAAGTAATGACCCAGCACAGTATCCCGTACTATTTCCTCCACACATTGATCTTTTGCGGATATTGAGTGTGATTTTCGTGCCCAATATGAATTTTGGGTAGCAATTTTTTTCTATTTACTTGTCCGCTCAATGTAAATGTTCCCTCGTCGGTAACAATTATGTTTTTGACAAAGTCTTCGTTGTCATTGTAAAATTGTNGTAACCTAGTCATCACACTAACAGAAATAAACCATAGCTTTAGCAAATGTCAAACTGTTTATTTTTTCCTTACTGATCCTCCGATAAATACATAAACACCACAACAATTTTTCTAGAAAAATGCAAACAGATCAAATTGCAAAAAGTAAAGTTATTCATAAACCTTGAAAACAGACAAATCCAAATATATAAAAATATACAGGATGTTCCATTTAAAAAGAATAAAGTAGGTGGCGACTTCCGGTATAACCGAAAGTGCTAGAAATCTGAAAATATTTTAGTCGAAGAGGAGAACGCAATTGATAATACTTAAATCTATATTTTCAAATTTTTATTTTGGCCAGAATCCTGTATAGTTCTAATGGATGGTCGTCGTGGATGACCCTGTATTATTTACATTATTTATAACTTATTACGACAAAATTATACCTNCTCCTTTAGAGAACTGTAAAAACTACTCTATTAAGTGAATAATATATGAACTCTATATTAATATTAAATATAGTGTACATTAGAGTTATTTTTACCATGTGATATTACAATTTTTACACCAACTCTTTTTACCAACTACTCTAAAATTTTTACACGACACGATTTTTTCCTGTGTACTGTATTGGCACAAAGTTGTACCGATTTTATGGCAGACACTATCCCGTCTTTGCCAGCAAACATGTCTTATCATATCCATCTTTGTATGGTTTCTTCTTCTGTACAATTATTTGTGACACACGATATGATGCCTCAGTGGCAGCTGTATGTTTGTCAACAATTAAAAAAAAATGTTCGATTATTTCCAACTTTCTTATTTCCAATTTACATTTAAAAATTCATGTTGTCCGACAGTACTTTTGGAGATATTAAGCTGGTTCCATACTTAATGAACACCTAGTATATTATGAAATTAAGAAAAAAACATAGTTTCTAGATTTCTAAAATTTTGAATATAATCTACCAAAATTGTGCTTACAAATAGATCGTAACTCGCAATCGATGGGTCTGTTTTAGATGAATATAACTCCCATTTATGCATCCTATAATAAAATACTCATCAAAAGATAACATTTACAAAAAGTTTTTTTTCGAATTTTTAGTGGCTACGTTAACCGAAAGTTAAAAGAAAAAAGATAATTTTTTACTTTGCTTTCGGCTAACAAAGAAAACTTCGTTAATCGATTTCTCCATTTTACAATGAACTATTGAAATGTTCGTGTACTTTGTTTTAGATTTGTTCGTAAAATTGAAATTGTGATTTTTATGATCGCCTTTTTAATTTCAACGACCATTTCCAACTACAAATAAACCCTTACAATAATTTGTTATTTGAAGGGATTAATTTTTTATTTTAATTCAGTTTAAAGAGTTAATACGTTTCAAAAACTTTGGGTATAAATGAGTTGAATTTCTACTCCTTAAAACGTAAAGGAAATCTACTACTCCTTAAATAAACAGAGGAATAAACTCGTTCAAGAGTTATATTATCGAATTTATCAAGAGCGTCCGTTTATCGGAGATAAATTTTGTTATTTTATGTGAACATTTTGTTTTTAGCAGTTTTTTACTTCGTAGGATCTTTTCGTATATTCGAAATGATTCCTTATTATTATAGTTGAGATATATTAGTGCTCGTTTACGTTTTAGTTATTGTAAGCAAGAAAAAACTTGGACACTCTTTGACTCTCTTCGATTTTAGAAACAAGATCAAATGTGAAAAGCTTTTTCGCTCGTGACAGCCTATGAACTTAAATAATGTCTTATCCATTTGATACCACTATCAAAAATTGTGGACAAGAATTATGTTAAATATACAAGATGCCAGAGATGTTTGCATACTGCTGTGGCATGGAAATTTTGGCGATTTTCGTTTTAGTGCTAGAAAATGGTGATATTTAGACTGGAACGGATTATAGGATATGATTGCTTAGTTTAGCACGAACCATTTTGATACGTGTCATGGTACTCTATCTATTATAGTTTTTGCATAGTTGAAAATGATGTAGTGTAAACCATCTGCAATAAATATTTTGCCAATTTTTGCTTTATTTCTAAAAAATATTGATAGCTACTTTAGATTTTCTTATGGATTATACTTGGTTGATTCTGTACGAACAATTTTTATATCTATGTGTCTTAGTACATTATCGATTATAGTCTTTGTGTAGTTGCAGATTGTTTAATGCAAAGCATCCATCATGGACTTTTTGGCGATTTTCTCTTTATTCCTAGAAAATGGTGATAGCTAAGTTCGAACTGGTTATAGATTATGCTTGCATAGTTCAATACAAACAATTTTCTTCCTTGTTATTATACTCCATCGGTTATAGCTTGTGAGTGGTTAAGAATTATTTAATGTAAACCATTCATCGTGGATTTTATCATGATATTCTCTTTACTCTTAGAAAGATGGTAACAGTTAGGTCCGAACTGGTTATGGATTAAGCTTGCATGATTCAGTACAAACAATTTTCTTCATTGTTCTTGTATTCTATCGGTTATAGCTTTTAAGTTGTTATGGTTTATTTAATGTAAATCATTCGTCATGGACTCTTTGGTCATATTCTCTTCACTCTTAGAAAAATGATAACAGTTAGGTCCGAACTGATTATGGATTATATTTGCATGATTCAATACTAACAATTTTCTTACTTGTCATATACTCTATCGGTTAGAGCTTTTGAGTAGTTGAGGATTATTTAATGTAAACCTTCCGTTTTAGATTTTTTGGTAATTTTTTCTATATACCTAGAAAATGATGACAACTAGGTTCGAACTGGTTATGAATTATGCTTACATGATTCAATACAAACAATTTTCTTACTTGTGATTATACTCTATCGGTTAGAGCTTTTGAGTAGTTGAGGATTATTTAATGTAAACCTTCACTTTTTCGTAATATTCTCTTTATTCATAGAAAATGATACCAGCTCGAACTGGTACTGGAATAGTTTTTGAGTAGTTCTAAATTATTTAATGTTATTGTCGAGACATTGATGCTTCATGCATGTCATAGTCAATTAAAGAAAGGATATAGAGTTTATATTATCATCATAATTTTAATCTATTGCTAAATGTACACTAGTTAAGCATACACATTTAAATAAACAAGAAAATTAATAAATTGACAAAAAAATGAAAATTTATCTCACTCTCACATACTGTAAGACATATTAAAATTGAAAGTTGTCCCTTTATAATTAAGAAAGTTGTAGTAAAGAAGCAATATGTTGTGTGAAATAATAATTTTAAGGTCAATAGTAGGAAGCACAAAATGTATTTTTAAAGGAAATATACTAATATATTCCTAGATTCCCAATTTGCATCTAAATGTGTAACTGTCCGGTCACTTTATTAAACCGCAACCGACCGTTATCATCTATTTCCATACACTTATAGCCTATAAAGACTTTTGAAAATTACGAACCCCACCTTTGCTTCTATTACCGTCATTAGATCACTATCCCTTTCCAATATCGGCGCCATTGAAAGCTTTCTTTTTGCTCGTTTCGCATTCTCTTTAAATTTACACGTTTGGCAAGGAAAAGTAATGGGAAGAAACTAATTACACAAAAAAAAGTAAACTAAGATATTTGTTACTGTTCGGTGTTTACGGATTTGCTTAAACGTATGTCTTAAAACGGTAGAATCATGTGGGAGGTATCTCAAGGAAATTGTTTTTGCGGTGGTAAGGGCCCGCAGGGTGCGCAGGTGAAACGAGTCCATCCCTCGGGGGTGAGTGCGAAATCGTGCTTGCCTCGTTTCGAAAATTATCACCTTAGCACGGCGATGCACGGTGCTCGTTGAATAATTAGCGACCGTGCGCTTATTCGCTTGCTGGTTGTGAGAAAAACTTTTAAGCTCTACGCTTGGAGCTTTCGTGAAAACTCGCCGCCAACATGCAACGAAACAATGCGACGCCAATTTTCAGGATAATTTGAGTCGGATACCGCTCGGTGAACCACACCGCGTTTTCATGTAAAATAGGGAAAGTCGAACGGGGCTAATTGGCTATTAAGTGAGAGGAGGTCGACGTTGTTTACTCCTTCATCGCATTATTAGTTAAGTATTTTGTTTAAGTCAACTGTATTTTCAGCTGCAGAATGTTACTTATTATTTTACTTAATTGATTGTCATGAATTCGTGAATATGATTACAAATTGTAGTGTTGGAAGGAATTGTTAGTAAAGCACGGGAGTATTTCTTGTAATTTGTTATACATTCATCCGGACCGTGTGTTCATCGGTTGGTCTGTCTTCGCATAAATTCATCATCAATCACTTTTGTGGACCGTCTCGGGGGCATCGAGAAGGGCGAGCATACAATATATTCGTCGGGTCGGGCAACTTTGTCGGCTTGCCGGGCCTGGTAAGAAAGAAGAACGAACGGCAGTTCGACATTGTTCCAAGTTTGGTAGTGCAACAATGAGTAGTCCGCCATATTGACTACTCAAGAAGCCATGTTGTGACCCGCGGCGGACCAAGTCCAAGACGCCTACGACAACTGCACTTGATCACAGGACCCCGAAGCCGCGCATTCCGGTAAGTCCACGTGCTCCCCCCTTTCTCGGGCTCCTTTCCTCTCTTCTGCTCCTTCTTCTGCTTCGACGGCCGCGTCTCGATCCCCGGTTCACTCTTGTATCCGACCCGCCTCCTCTCTCCCTCTCTTTCTCCTTTTTAGTCGCCTCGAGCGAAGCAGTCTTCTTTCGTGTTTTCGCCTTCCTTTTTCTACTTCTCCTTCGCTTTACCGGTTCTTCAGAACCGTGGTATGCCCCCGCCTATGGACCGCGCAAGACTCGTCCTCAACAATGCAACCAGCGCCAAAGGAGAGGTCCGTGAGTGCACACGAGTGGGATGGTAATAAGGGTATCGTTGAAGACTTTCAAAGTTGCGGTTATAAACGAATACTAACGCAATTGGAAAAGGAGAAGGAGGAAAAGGTTTGTTCTTCGATGGATTCTAACTGTGGTTAATTGTGCATCCACATTCCATGACTATAAAATGAATTGACTGTCATTGGCTACATCCAGAAGATTTACGACTAATTAACTTGCCCATATGAAGATGCAATTTTAGTTAAGTATATTGGCGGGAATAAAATTCGTCAATTCATTTATTTCAGTGTCAAGTCAAAATTAGACATGATTTAAATTCATAAATTGCCGTTTTAAAATCCCATAAATTGTTAGTGAAAATGTATTAAAAGTATTTATTTGTATTTAACAAAATTAACAATGTCGACCGAAACATATCGAAAGTGGTGGATACTCTCCAAAAAGCAATTGGAGTGTCTCCAAGAATACGATGATTTCATGAAAAAAAATACCAAAAAAGAAAAATCACGAGTTAAAGCTAACCATATCGTTTCTGGGTTATACACTAAATACTGTATGTTAGTAAAAAACATCGATATATGCTTAGATCAAACCATTCAGGTACGTACTTAAAAGAACTATACATCCATAACATTTAGAATCTTATCAACAGCCCCAAAAACGAGTTACAATCCGAAAACTAGTGGATTCAGCTACCACCAGATTAATTGAAATCAATAATCTTTTAAGAGATATCGATATTTCCGAAATTCATTATTGTGATGGTAATCTGATAGAACAAAAGCTCATCCCTAATAGTATCGAATTCCTCAATCCAACCTTATTTTTTCCCAGACCCATAGAAATCGAAGATATGTGGCAGAGAATACAAGTAACAACCACTAAATTAAACGATTTATTTTCCCCTATTGCTGCAACAAGATTTATGTTATAGAAAGGTGAAAGAATTTTTATTCCATCCCCAACATTATCACCAAGTGCTTCAAAAACTGCAGAGGAAACGGAAGGTGAAAAAACAGAAGGAGAAAAGAAAGAAGGTGAGAAAACAGAAGGAGAAAAGAAAGAAAGTGAAAAGAAAGAAGGTGAAGCGGCAGATGAAAAAAAGGTGGAGGCTCAAGATGATAGTAAAAGTAAAGAAGCAGCGAAAGAAGAAAAGAAAAAGAGGTATAAATTGCCCTTTACTTACTTTTAAAATCTTTTCTGCTTATTATACATCTTCTTGATGACTAGGAAAGCATCTGCTAAGAAATTAGTCACTGAGAAAAAGGAATTATCCCTTGAAGAAATCGAAGCTGCGAGGCAACAAGAAATACTACTCAATGCAATACTATTAATACAAACGTCCGAAAGAGGACGTCAAGCTCGTTTATATTGTACGGACATATTAGGCGCAAGAGGTCCCGACCCCAATGACCCTTCACGCGCAAAAAAGCCAGAAGTAGAAGTGACCGCCGAAGATCTCGATAATGCAGCAATAGGATTTCAAAAATTATATCGAGGTTACATGGCAAGAAAAGAACAAAAACAAAGAGAATTAAAAAGAAGATACTTAATCGGTATTATTGATACACTTAAAAAAATTTTCATAAATCTACCTTCAACATTTCAATAAATTAATAGGAATGTATGAGCCAAGCTGGAAAAGCACAGAAGAATTCGATAAATTAAGAATAAACGCTGAAATTCGCCGTCAAATAGTAAGCCAGAAATTCAAAGAATACGTCGATTCAATGGATAAAGAGAAAGAGCGAATAATGCGAGTTGTAGCTCCCGGTTTAATGGAAGATATTAGCGATGAAATAAGAGAGTGGTTCCACGAATGGTACACGGAAATACAATGTTTCGATAAAATACCCCCAACCGCTAAAGGAGGAACCGTTCTTGTTGTGAGATGCGAAACGTTCACACCTAAGGAGTATTTGGCAGATTTAGAAAGAAAAAAGGCTGAAAAGGAAAAGGGAAAAGATGATAAAGCGGCTAAGGAAAAGGCGGCAAAAGAAAAGAAAAAGAAAAAAGAGGAAGAAAAGAAGAAAAAAGAGGCTGAAAAGAAAAAGAAGGCGGATGCGAAAAAGGCGAAAGAAGCGGGAGAGTGGGAATTCGAATTTCCAAAAGATGAAGATGAACCCCCGGCAATGAAGCTGCTGATAGACTCTATTCAAGAATACATAACTCTTTGGCGTGAAAAAAAAATGATCGATAATCCGCTAGATGAAATCTATATGGATTTAATTCTTGATCAGGTGTGTTACGAAATGCAATTGGAGGTGAGACAAAATGTGGATCAGCTGATGAAATTGGAGTTGAGGATGTTAAACGAAGCACTAGTTGCTGACTTGAAAAAAGCAGGCAAAAAAAATGCAAAGATGCCCAAGGAGAAGAAAGAAAAAGTGAAAAAACCGAAAGTCGATAAAAAGGATTTAACTAGAAATCGGCGAACTGAAGACATTTTCCAAGAACTTATCGATAACGAAATAATAAGGAAGTATCCTAAAGTCCATCTTGATGAATTTTTAGGGGATTTCAGTTATTCTAATTGGGATAAAAGAGAGGAAGAGTGCGACACTTTCCCTTGTTTGGGTGATATTCGACATCAAGTTGCGATAAATTGTATTTTGCCATTGGGGGTGGGAACTATGATTAAACCTAAATCTGTTCTTATTGCTGGACCTAAGCAATCTGGGAAACATCTACTTGCTAATGCTATTTTTACAGAAACAAAAGCTGTGTTATTTGATCTTACACCTGCCAATCTAGTAGGAAAATATGATGGACCTGTTGTAAGTAAAAAGTACTTTCATTTGTGATTATAAAACTTTGGATATAAATTTATGTATATATGCTTTATTGCTGTCTGTGATTCTATAACTTTTTAGATAAGACATTTTAAACATTATCTTTAACTGTTGACTGTAAAATATCCAGTGGTTCCTCCTCCGTGGTCGGTTTGAAGACAGTAGATGGGTTCCGTTTTACGTGTCTAGTCGTTGCAGAAGAATTCAACGTTTCTGAACATCACCATTCTGGAATGTCGTTTGGTGTCACGATCACGATTTTCTTGTCGGCGTCTATTCTTCGGGACGGTATTTCAGTGGGGTTGGTATTGTATTTCTTTATTGCCGCAGGGTTTCAGTGTCAACTAGATGGCTTTGCAAGGTTGGTTTCTGAACTTCGAAGCGTACTGGTGTCAAGTCAGTATATTGGAGCTTCTTGCTGGGTATATGTTTTGCAAGGAACTTAGGTTAGGTTAGAAACTTGACAGGTGGAAGCCATCTTAGTAGGGGCATAAACCTTTTTTTTTTTTGAACCTGATGTATGGAAATGCACTAGATATGATTTTTGTACTCCTTTCTTATTGTAATCTGTTAATAAAAATAACAGTATTCTATGATTTGTTATGAAAATAAAATGAAATGGAATAAATGAAGATTCTGTCCAGTGGCTTATCACTAATATTGAGTCGTATTTTGATAGCAAGGCAAACAGGTCCATCCTCTTCCACTTTTTAGTAGCGTACCATGGTGCCTGATAGATATGATCGAGTATTTTGAATTGAAATCGTTGCAGTTACAAGATATTTGTATCGCTAGCAGCTCCTCATAGTTGTGTGCCATATTCCTAGATTGGTCTCAGTGTGACCATATCGATTGCAAGATTATTTTCAATATATTCATAAGCAACAATTTTTCTTCATACACCAATATATCTTCCTGTATAGTATTCCCAGCTGCAATCTTTTCTGCACTGAAAATGTTGTGTAGCCAGCTTTGGTTCAGAGCGAATAACCATAATTATGGCTCCAAATACACTTCCTTGCGGTATGTAGAGTTCTGAGTTCATATACTTCATTAACGAGCGAGTCCAATCTGTATCTGACATCGTTATCCGTGAATGTCAAACCAGTTTTAGACGAGGCAGGTTCACAATTGACCAAATATTCACGGTACAATAGATCTTTAGCAAAGCCTGGGATAAGGAAATAACATCTAATGCTTGAATTGATCATAAGACATTGGAAGAGAAAATATATTGACCCACAGGACAGTACAACTAGCTGTATATACAGAAGATGCAAACTCTCAGCTAAAGAGACAAGCCGAGGGAGCAGAAATTGGAGATAAACACGGTAAAAACATGTTATCATGGAGAAAGGTACTGGAAACGCTGCACCCAACCCAACCCAATCCACTTATTTAGATCACTAGAGTTACACCGACAAACAAAGATAAGATATATAAAACAATCATTACACCAATGATGACATATGATAACGAAACATGAGTTCTGATGAAGAGATCATTATAACCTTGAGATCTCCTGGGACTAGTTGGCGACCAGAGCGTGTACAGGATGAGGCACGTCAACTTTTCAAAGATGTCACCGTCCTGGAATTTTTTAAAATATAAAAGCTGAAGTTTTTCTGTACTTTTAGAACAAATGTTGTAGCAAATTTTACCCTTAACACAACGCTCTGTAACATTTTTGCTCCCAGATGCATGCATCAATGTAGAGAATTTTTCAAAAATATGAAAATTAGAAGAGTGTTAAAAAAAATCGTTATCCGGAGCATGATACAGAAAAACTTTTACAACAAAAGTTGTAGCAAATTGTATCTTTAACACAATGCCCTGTAACATTTTTGCTCCCAGATGCATCAATATAGAGAATTTTTCAAAAATATGAAAATAAGAAGAGTGTTAAAAAAAAATCGGTATCCGGAGTCTGATACAGAAAAACTTTTACAACAAAAGTTGTAGCAAATTGTACTCTTAACACAATGCTCTGTAATATTTTTGCTCCCAGATGTATATGGTAAGAATGGAAGAAGGGAGAATGTAGGAAAGGAGTCTTGTGGGAAAGCTACGGATAAAATTTCTGTACCTGCAGGGATGGAGAAGAGGAGCGTAAGAAGGGAGAAGCACGGAGAAGTGGAGGCAAAGATTAAGGGAGGCCAGAGACCAACTTGGGCATAGAGCCAAAGAAGAGAAGGCTTCTAAATGTCTTGGACTATGTTTGCTGCTTTAACACCATTTTCAACGTCTTTAATGTCATAATTTTTCTTACACCGCGCTCTATTTTTGTCGTATTTAACGGATAAGGACTCTTGGTGTGCCTAAACATCTTTTCTAAGAAGACTCATTTTCTTTCATATACTTCTGACTTGCTATTTCTACCCAATTCTAACCTATGTAGTGCTTTTGGTAAAATTTTTTCAACATATTCTCTACTGGCAGTATACTGATAGGCTGTTTTGATAACGTGTATCTTTCTACAAGTTCTCTTCGCATCTTTCTTGAAATGAATCCTTTATTAACCAAGTATTAACTTTTTGTTAACTTTTTTTGCTATGCAACGATTACTGTGAACCACCATTCTAATTTAAATTAGGTACATAATAAAGTGAAATATTTAAAATCATTATCAATTTGATAATAATAACAAACTAATAATTTCAAGCAAGAATATACCCTAAAGCAATATTTTATTAGTATAATTCTAAAATTGATTTTGAAATAGTATTTGACTGTAATTTGTAATTTATTTATTGGACGTTTTGTTTATTAAAGAGTAACGCACGGAAATAACAAATTATTGCGTATCAAATCAAAGCTATTTTATTAGTTTGTATTAATTAACTCGTTCATATTATTGCTTTCAATGACTAATAATAGAGAGGCCAATTTCATCTAATAACATAAAATGTTTAAAAGTTATGATTAATAATTACACATCACCGCTAACCGCTGTTGTATTTCACAGGGACAGAAAATGTTGCTACACCTAATAAATAAAATGAGCCGTTTGTTACAACCGTCGATTATATATTTTGATGGGGGTGAAAAACCGTTTTACAAGAAGGTTCCCAAAGAAGAAAATGATCAGAATCCTAAGAGATTTGGCAGTTCACTTTTAAAAAACATTATTAAACCCATTATGCCTAAGGACAGAGTCTTGGTTTTAGCCATTACAAATCAGCCGTGGGCAGCCAAACCGAGTGGACTGAAAAAGGCTTTCGAAAGGGTAGAAATTTTAACCTCTTCATACAAAATTACTAAAAATTATTACTTTACAAGGTAATATTGGTCCCTCGTACCGATTACGGTTCAGCGTATATATTCTGGAAGCATTACTTAATGAGGCATCATGGTGTTCATAGAACTTTTGACCTGTCCTGCTTAGCCAAGCTATCGGTTAATTATCCCGCGAGCGTTATCAAAGAAGTGGTCGATACCGTAATGACCCCAAGAAGAATCATCGCACTGAGCTATCTACCTTTACAAGAAATAGAACTTTATGATGTATTGATTCAAAATCCAAACGGACCTATAAACGATAAAGATTATGCCAAGTTAATGAAATGGTATAATAAGGTGCCAATTAGGGTAGCTAGGGCCAACTATCAGATAGATATCGATGACGCTAAAGCAGCCCTAGCTGAGCAAGCTGAAAAAGCAGCCCAAAAGAAAAAATAATCGTTAAAAATGTTTCTTTTTGTTTTTTTATGTTATGTATAGTGTTTTATAAGTAAAAAATATATCACCCTACTTTATTACCTTTATTTTAATTTTTACTCTTGTATATTTGCTATGGACATTTCAAGATCTAGTTGGTCCAAGGACGATGGGTTTACGATTAGCATAAGTTGTACCGTTTGGATTAGGGATCGCACGATACGCACGTCCCCGTAGTGGTTTTACGGGGTTCCCCTTAATCTACTATGAATCTGTGAGTCGTGAGCCGTGGGCGTGTACCACAGGTTACGCCTGTGGCCACGCCCAGGCAAAGAGTGCCGCACCGCGGCGCGCCACGCTGTCGTCGTTCTTCGTGGACACCCTGTGATTACCCTAATAAATAGACACTTTGGCGGTTCACCATCCCGGCGCGGCGCCGGCCGTCTTGACCGCCTAATCACAGGTCAATCGGACAAAATTATAGCGAGGGTGGCCAAGATGAAGAACCCCCTTCGACTCCACATCGCCCCCCGGTCTCGAACAACTAGCCCCAAGAACTATACAACTCAAGGTGTGTGTTTTAAGGTATTTCCCTCTTTAGTGGGAGTTTTTTATTCATTTTGTACGTTATAAATGACTCGGAAACCGCGTTGATAGGTGATCATTAAAGGGTTAAATAATAACACCGTTGTAGAGCCGAGTTTTTCGGTCGATACGAGAAAGAGAACGAAAGAGAGAATAAGAAATTTGTACATATACTACACGAAACGAGCGAGTGAATGAGTGTTCGATAAATTTGCGGATGGTTTCGAGCCGTTCGGTCGAGGAGGCGGCCCGAGGGCGACGGTCCTCCACGTTTCAAAGTTAGTTAGACACGCGACACAGAAAATCAATCAAATGTGATGCGAAACGGCGGCTGCAGTTCGGTTGGTAAACAGCCTCCAGTCCTAATAACGGGCCCGTTGGACCACCGCCGCCGGCAACATCCCTTTCAACAAATAGGGTGCACCTAGGATAGAGAACATCAAAGATATGTGTAACCTATCGCGTAGTGTTACAACTGCATCAGAATTATCTTCAGAAAATCTAGTTGAATTTATGCAAATAATGGAATATATATACTTTATCTACGACTGCTTGGATAAGTCATCATTACCGTACTCATTTGAGGTGATTTGAGTTACGTAATGAAGTTCATTACCGCACTGGTTTCATTACGTAACGCATTTTTAGCCTAATCAGAACAGACTTAATTTATTGAAAACGAGCAACAATACAAAAGAAAAAGTGCTATCTACTTACAGAGAAACAATACTATTTATTATAAATATTAATTGTTATGTTTTTACATTTCAAAACACGTATTCCAGATGAGTAAACATGTTGTTGAAACTGGCAATTCAAAATTGTCAACAATCATTTCAAAATATTTTTATAAATGTCAAATAGACTTTTCTAAAGAAATTGATTTTTTAGTAATTTTTAGCAGTCGTAGATAAAATGCTGTATATCACACGTGGGCTAGAACATAATTACAGTAATTATGTTTCTAGCCCACTTGTAATATAAATAACTATTATCTTTAGTCTTATAGCTAGATTCTTGTATATTTTCATTATTGAAAGAAAACACTAATTATTACATTACTACATACCCTCATTATAAAACTTATAAATTATTTTTTTTGTGTCACCCACAAATTTGATGTGACAGCCACCTATGTCGAATTGCATCAAGTTATCCTTTAAAACAGTGTCAAATTGTGAGTTTAGCATACAATAGATAATAGTTGTTAATTTTTTCAACATGCAAAAGAAGTGTATTAATTAGTGGTGGAACGGATATCCGGCAACTATCCGGCTTTGGCCGGATATTAAAAACCTATTACTTAGTACTCCACCATTCACAGAAATTAATATCTCTTTTAGATTTTGGACACTGCAGATAATAATCAAGTTCAACCCCAATAGGACTTTTTTCATTGAATACAACTTTATATCAGGTTTGTCATTTCATTACTAACAGAACTGTCGCTGTTATCACTTTCGATAATTAATTAAAGTATACTCTCTTTAACGCAACAAGCCGTTTTCAAAAATCACTTTCAGTTCTTGAGAAACAAAGTTTTGAAATGATCGATAATTTTTCGAATTCTGCAATTTTCGCCGAATAAGTTTTAAAAATTTGTATAAAATCCAGTTTTTGGAATATGAGTATGAAAATTTCACAAAGTGTTAATAAAAGTGTCTTCTTTCCAATGACCCAACCCGTTTTGAAAAATAGTTTTTAGTTTTTGAGAAAACAATATTTGAAGTTTCGATAAAATTTTCGAGGTTACAATTTTTATCGATAACTTGCAAAATTCGCTATAAAATTAATTTCTTGAAGGATCCTTGTGGAAATACCACCAATTATTAATTAAAGTATCCTCTTTTTAATGCAAAAAGTCGTTTTCAAAAATCACTTTCAGTTCGTGAGATATTAAGTTTTGAAATGAACAACAATTTTTTTCGAATTTTGCAATTTTCGAAGATTAAGTTTTAAAAATTCGTATAAAATCCAGTTCTTGGAATATGAGTATGAAAATTTCCCAAAGTGTTAATAAGAGTGTCTTTTTTCCAATGAACCAACCCGTTTTGAAAAATAACTTTTAGTTATTGAGAAAACAATATTTGAAGTTTTGATAAAATCGGCTTTTCGCAAAATCACTATGCGTTCCATCACTAGTATTAATCATACTAACAGTTTTTGCTACGTATGTGGTAAACTGACGCAGACTTTCAAAAGCCAGCGATGAAATTTCACTAAACTGGTGTAGCAGTGTTATCGTCTATATTTTGGTTTCTCTGTGATTCATCAAGATAAGTATTGGGCATCTCATATATGCTGTATGACATATATAAAGAATCTTACTGGTTGGGCAAAAGGAACGCGATATATGGCTTCCGGAAAATCCATGATTTAGACAGAGCCTGTAGATCACGTATCTGATTGCTACTTGTGCTTGACTAACATAAATGGAATGAATATGGCATCAAAACATACTGTGAAATATGCAAATGTACATTCTACATCACGACCACTTCGTCATAGTGATGATTTACCTGTACCTGCAATGCCATATTAGATAAATGACGCAGCAAATGATGTCATCGATTTACCTTCATGTAGTGCAATTAACAATGAAATTTATGATCCAACCTATGTGCCTCAAGGTAAAGAACCTTATTTCCTAACTCAAGCTGATCTTAACGATCTAGTTCGCGACTTAAAATTGTCAAAAAAGCAGTCTGAAGTATTAGGATCCAGATTGAAAGAATGGAATTTGCTTCATCCCGATACTAAGGTGTGTCTTTTTCATAGCCGTGACGAAGAACAAACCAAATACTTCTTACAAGAAGAAAATTTAGTGTATTGCAATGAAATTACTTTGGTCATGAACTTGCTAGATATTGAATTTGAACCACAAGATTTGCGCTTGTTTATAAAGTCGTCAAAAAAGTTTAAAAGATAGTTTAAAATAGATTGCCCTCTGTTCCGGTAGCATAAGCTTCCGGTATGAAAGAAACTTACGAAAACATGAAATTGGTACTAGAAAAAATTCAGTATAATCAATTTTCATTTAAACTATGCGGTGACTTCAAAGTCATTGCTTTACTTCTCAGATTGCAGCTGGATTGCAACAATAGTTACCGCAAGAAAGACTGGCCAAAGCGCGAGTGCCTCACTCCTGGGAATAAAAATGTTTTACACCCTCCTCTTCTCTTGTAGAGCCCACCACTACAGAGTACTTCTGCCACCACTACATATAAAACAAGGCCTGATACAAATTTTGTCAAAGCCATGGATCAGATAAAGAAAAATTTCCTAATGTTAGTGACGCTAAAATAACGGAAAGAATTTTCGTCGAACCTCAGATCAGGGAATTGTTCAAAGATAACATATTCCAAGAAAAGTTAAGTCCGTTGGAGAAATATGCTTGGAAAAGGTTTAAATATGTGCAACATTTTTTGGGCAACCAAAAAGCAAGTAACTACAAAGATGTGATAGATTCGATGTATCAGTATCAAGCATTGGGATGTTATATGTCACTCAAAATTTACTTGCACCTCGACTTCTTTCCCGAAAACCTAGGAGACGTTAGCGACGTACATGGAGAAAGGTTCCATCAGGATATTTCCAGCTTGGAAAAACGATACCAGGGCAAATAAAGTCCTCGTATGTTGGGAGATATTTATTGGGCGCTTGCAAGAGACCAACCTGAAGCCAAATACTCCAAAAAATCATAATTTTTAGTTTTAAAAAACTTATTTCAAGTTGTAGTTCATGTAAAGTCTCAAATGTAAATTTCCTGTCACAAAAAAATATGGGTGGAAAATTTTTTCTACACCTGCTTTCCACCTTAGGGAGTCTAAATAAAATCAAAAATGCCACAAAAGTGCATGTGACAAATTAACAGTTCATTTTTGTCAATCAATGAAATTAGAACTATATTACAGCTAGAACTAGAAACATTCCCGAATGTTTCTAGTTCTAGCTCTAATGTTAGTTCTAATACTAGTGTTATTTCTAGTTTTAGCTATTATTCAGCGTTACGTTGTTATATATTTTTCATTAAACTAAAGGTGGAACTCACATTACACTTATTGTTAGAAGTAGAAACATTGGGGTTGGGAATATTTCTAACTCTAGGTCAAGTGTTAGTTCTAATGCTAGTGTTAGTTCTGGTTGATTCTTGATTATAACACTCCCTTCCCCGTATTAGTCCCTTATATCGAGGTTATACTGTAGTAAGCTATCTGTTACTGCATAATTTGAAACATCCCTAAAAAATTTTTAAAATCCACTTTTTCTTTAGATTCATATCTTAATAATTAATACCTTCTATCTTTTTCTATCGTCATTAGTTAACCTTAACTAATAACCTATATTACTTTAAACCGGATACGTTCAAACATCTGGAAGGTGATCGGTGATGAACTGATGGCGAAGAAACCGACGTAATCAATCACCGCCCGGTCATCCTCGATTGATTGAGGCGTACCTCTCGTCTCTCTTTCTAAGGCT